GGATATTTATTTTCTATATTATAAAACATTTTGTTGGTTTTCTAAAATTGTTTAAGTCTCTAAATTATTGTGTTATGTGTGCTTGTCTTCTTCGTTTGGGCTTTTTGGTGGAGTTATGTTCTGTTTTTATCCTTGGTTTGTTTTGAGATTTGTTCTGGTGTGGTGTGTCACTTTAGTTAGTTTTTTACTTTATTTAGAAAACAATTTTTCAACCCCCCCCATCTTTTAATTTAGTTTATAGATTTTAGATAGTTGTTTTCACTCAATAAAAAGTGACAAAGTAAACCGATTTTCGTAGCCTAAAAAATGTCTTTCTTCGTGGGATCGACTCTTACTTATCCTATCTATAGATTTAATAAATATTATTTTTTACAAGAAGAAATTGAGTAAAGGAAAAGAATAAATTAATTTTTTAGGTGCTACGACACGCCTAACAAATTTTGGCGCCGTTGCCGGGGAAAGATAATTTTTTAAATGAGAATTGGTTTGCTTATTGTTAAAAAAAAACACTTAAAAAAGAGCCCAATTTTAAGATCAAACACTTAACAAACTGATATGGAGAAATTAAAAGATTTTAGAAAGAAATCAAACCTCTGTAGAGTAGGCAATCGATGCTTGCTCCCCGGTTGTGCTTCGTTGGCGTTGCAATTTGTGCGACCCAATTGCGCCCAATTGTAGGGTTATGATGAAAGGAAAGCTTCAGTTGCGACCCAATTGCGCCCAATTTAGGTTCACACTAAAGGAAAGCTTCAGTTGCGCCCAATTGTTTGATACTTTTCCTTAGAGAAGTTTAAGTGGGGGCAGCAATTATAATTGAATCCATGGTCTCATAGGGGTCGTTAGAACACCCCCAGAGTCCTCTTATGTTTTGACTAAAGATTATTTAGTTCCTGCTCAGGCCTCGAAGGAATGGCCACCAAAAGTTTAGCAAAATGCTCCAATGACTTCTCAAAGGCACACAGACTCTGGAAGGGTTTCTTGGCCTTTGATTACAGAAGATAAGACTCGTGAGGAGTTCCCACTCTTATTAAAACAACCTGGAGCTCGTTTGAGGAGTGAACCCTCCAAACCTTCGCTCAAACTAATGTAGGCACTGCCATTTTGGGCACTGTTTTAGCCTGTTCAAATTGAGATGGTTCTAGCTCCCTTATCTCACGGCCTTAGCAGTGTTGAAACCTGTATCGTTGATAGCAAGAACCAAACTGTTTCAGCCCCGTGCAGCCCAAAACCATGTAGCAACAACTACCTATTCAACAGTTATCTGTTGGCCATAATCACTCCTCATTAACACCTACAAATTCAGCTTTAACCCCCACTATTTTGGCCCTGAAACCAGATCCTAATATGCCCAAACTCGTGGGCAAAACAGTGGCAGGGGAGTCAACCTTAGCTCAAATGGTGACTTCCTCCCCCTCAAAAATCCAACCTGTGCTCCCCTCTTTTTTCAAGGAAACATTACTAGCGTGTGACGTGTGCATGCACAAGGGAACCTCTGCTACTCAGTTTACAGAAAGAGAAGTAGACAAATTGTCCCTCATTCATCGTTATACATTGGTTGGAAAGTTCAAAGCACACTTGTAACCCGTCATTATATGTAATTAGCTACGGAGCCTATAATGACGGTCGATGAGAGTATATTTCCTCTCATTAAAATGTTTTAATGACGGTTTTTTATGTTTTAACTACGGATTGTACTCACACTATAGAGCATTTTTCTTGTAGTGTGGATGAGAATTATTCAAAGTCCTAATTTCTATCAACTCAAAAATGTCTAATTTGTAAAGGTGCAAAGGTAGGTAATATATACGGAGTAAGGACTAAGAAATAAATTGGAATTGTCGGTCCATTCGGTCCAAACTGAAAAGGAGTCGGGTATGGAATGGACTGAATTAAAACCCAAAAATCTAAATATGCAGGACCAAAGACCGACTCGATATGTGTTCGGTTCGAGTTTGGTCTGGACCTAACAATCTAGTTCCGTTTGGACCTAAATATGAACAGCAAAAGTAGGAATCATTTATGGATGCTATTTGTACCTCATTTTGTACACCGCAGGAATGCACTAACATTTTGTGTTGGTGTAATGCTAATTTTTGTTACCGCACCAACACTTTGTGTCAGTGTAAATTTTTGTTAACGCACTAACATTTTGTATCAGTGTGAACCATAAAAATATTGGTGCATATCTTTGATGTACAAATGAGGTACAAATTTTGGGTACATGTAGCATGCTCCATTATTTATTGTACCTAATCTGCGCTATTTGGAACAACACCTTAACTCATATTTCTATAAACCAAAACTCCAAACGGGCCCTTATTTTCTTGGTGTTCAATTCTCACAAACGTTCTAGGCGCTTTCCTCCCGAGCAAGATTGCAACGAAATAATTCAGGTTCGTTTTCGTCCCTGATTTCCTCCCGAGCAAGATATTTCCTGGTTCATATCTTATACTGTTATACGGAGTATTGTCTCAGCATATGTTTCTAAGAATCTGTTCTTCACGATTCTGTTGTTGCCATTCAACTGTTGAACGCTCGGCGTTAGTTTGCGCTTTTAAGTGAGTAAACATGATGATTATATTGTGGTGTTTTTGATGGATCTCTTCTGGATTTCGTTGCGCATTGCGTAGATTGTTTTATAGTTAATATTGTTTTTTTTAAATTTTGATTTTTAGCTATCCGTAAATTATTTTCCCCAATTCACTGTTGAGACCTAATTTGCACCAGACGGGGACAATGGCGCGCAACGCCAAATTTATTTATAATTTGTAAAGAATCTGTGCAACATAGGTTGAGACTCGGGTATGGCTTATGTTCTTCCTGTTACAAAAGACAAATACTCGGATTTCTCTCTTGGAAAAAATATCTTTTGTAAATCAGCCAATCTTAGAGTAAGAGAGGGAGATGTGATGAGTAATTTAGGAACCCTATAGGATGAGAGTAATTTGTATCTTTAGAGATTGTATTGTACTTAGTTTAGAATCTGCTTGTTAGTTCGGGTGAGAACACGAATGTATTTGTCAATGTATTTAGGCTTTTAGATATAACAACAACAAATCCAGTAGAATCCCACAAAAAGTAGGGTGTAGGAATTTGAGCATTTAGGCAATATTTAAAATTTTCATATGATGCATCCATGTATGATCGTTAAACGTTTGTTTCTTCGTTAACAAGAAATTTTCTTGAGATATAATTGGCATGCTCGCTAAATTTAAGCCTTGTACCCAACAGCAACATTGCCTATGAAAGTTTAGTATTTCCCTCCATTTTAGAGACTTCATTTTTTGCTTCTCCGAAATATAGGATTTAGAGACGTTTATAAACTTTTATGTTTTGTTAATCTGTGGATTTGCATTAGGATGCTTAACAGAAACCCTTCATTTCTGTCTTTGTCGCATTGTTCAAGTAATGTCTGTTTTATATTGTAGTGAGAGGGTGCTGGTATATTAGACCAAGTGTAGTGGGTTCCATGCCCCTACCATGGAGCCCCAAACACCACCCCCGAGGCTTCATGAGAAATAAATTGCATGTGGTGTTATGTTTATAGTGCCTCCCCCCTTCTCCCTTAACCAATCACATTTTATCTCTTTCTCTATATAAATTAAATTAAAAATAATAATAAACGTGTAATAATTGGTGGGCTTTATGGGGTTCCAAACACTATACCCCTTTTAAGGTCCTGTTCTTTTGGGTTGGAATTTCAGAGTTGGATGTTGAAAGAAACTGGAAGAAGTTGGAAGAAACTAGAAGGAGTTGGAAAAAACTGGAAGGAGTTGTAAAATGTTGGAAGAATTTAAGTATTAAAAAGTCACTCAATTAAATGATCATCCAAATAAAGATGTTAGAAAATTTTAATTTTGGATAAAAAAGAATCTATCATTGTCCGTGTTTGAGTTGATATGCTACAAATTTGGATATATAATGTTATATAGGGAAGTTGTACATGTCTGTAATAAGACCAGCCATGTTATACGCAGCAGAGTGTTCGGAAGTTAAGAAAACTCATATTCACCAGCTACATGTTGTAGAGATGCGGATGCTACGTTGGATGTGTGGGAAGACGAGGTTGGATTGGATTCAGAACGACATTATTCTTGAACGGGTGGGGGTGGCTTTTATGGAGAGTAAGCTGTGGGAAGCTAGGCTAAGGTGGTTTGGGCATGTGAAGCAGCGCGGTGCTGACCAGTGTGGAGATGTGTGAGGCTTTCTGTGGTGGGAGGGAATGTGGGAAGAGGTAGACCTATGAGGACTTGGAAAGACGTGGTTAGCCAAGACCTTAGACTTTTGGCCCTTACCAAGGATATGAACTTAGATATGCATGTTTGGAGGGATAGAATTAGGATAGTTGGGTAGTATGGCTGTAGCTTTCGTGCTAAACAATGTCTGCTTTTTTTCCTACTTTATGTTTCTTTCTGCGTGCTTTGTGCTTTTGTGTTACTCGAGATGGGGGTCTCTTGGAAACACCCTCTTTACTTTTGAGTAAGGGGAAAGTCTGCGTACACATACCCTCCCAAGACCCTACTTCTGTGGGATTCTACTGGGTTGATGTTGTTGTTGGAAGAAACTGGAAGGAGTCGGAAGGAATTGGAAAGAGTTGGAAGAAGTTGAAAGCTAATTTTTCCAACCCAAAAGAACAAGGCCTAAGTCATGGAGCTGTTGAGGTGGCTGCCACATGGTGAATAGTGCCCCTCTCGGGTCTTAGTTTATGCAGCTGGTCTACTGATCGTGTAGACCAGTAGACCAGCTGTTTTCAGTGTTGATCGTGTAGTATGTTGATGTTGATTGTTGAAATAAAATTAGTGATGCTGCTCAAGTAGTTGCTTTGTACATTGATGCATAGGCTATTTGCATTTAACCACTGCAATCCAGGCAATAATTAATCATTCAAATCTTGTTGGATGAATTTCTGTTTAAACAATAATTCACTTTAAAGTGCCATTTTAATCTTTTTATTCCCAACTAATTGTATATATAGACCTTCATTGCACAGTATGTGTGGGTATAGTGAGTGATGCTGCGCAGGTGGCAAGTGGTTGTGTAGGTTTCTGCATTGGCTAGTTGTAATAAACCGCTGCAATTAAGCATTAGTTTATCCTTCAAACCATGTGATGAATTTCTGTTTGAGAAAATTTCCACTTAAAGTACTACTTTACTCCTTCCAATTCCAAATTATTCTCTATAGACCTTTATGCACATATTAAGGAGCAAAGTTTTCTGAATTCAAGTGCGATTATACCACGATTCATTTATGCAATAATAAAGATATTAAAGTATACCATGTGCCCCAAAATGACTTGTCTGTTGTGCATGATTGTATATTTGGAATTTTTATGTGGTTCACAGTGCATCTCTCTCATCTTAATTTAAACCACAGTTTATACTTTACTAAAAACTGTTCCCGGTCATATTTGACACATTGTTTTGGGACGGGGGAAGTACTATGGATCATTTAAATATGGATGAGGGAACTTATGTGAAATGGGAAATAAATTCTCTCTTAATATTGGAAAGTGTGATGTACTGATGTTCATATGAGAATATACATTCTTCCCTCTAAAGTTTCTCTTGTTTTTCACAATTTTAAAGTGTTGTGTGTTGTGTCCTCTCAGACAACTGAGGAAGAAAGCCGAAGAAGATGGTTAGAGCATATTCACAAGAGCATACCTATAAGCATCCGTGGGAAAGAGTGACGGCTGCATCATGGCGAAAATTTTCTGATCCCGAAAACAAACGCATCCTGTCACACATCCGTGAAGTTGACACTTTGAGCCGCAAGATTGTCCCCAGTTCCGGGAAGCTTTACACAACGCGTGCTATAACCATCCATACACCTGGACCGTGGTTCATTTCCAGAATCATTGGTCAGGATATCTGCCATTGCGTTGAGTCTACGGTTGTTGATGCCCGATCACGCTCAATGCAGCTGTCCACTCGCAACATAAGCCTTGAGAAGTTTGTTGAAGTGGAAGAGAAGATCCGGTACGACCCCCATCCGGAGAACCCAAACGGATGGACTATTTGCAGGCAGGAAACAAGTATCAGGATAAAGCCGCTGTCAGTGTTGGCATCAATGGCAGAGAAGATTGAGCAGAAGTGTGTGGAGAGGTTCCAGCAGAACAGTGTTAAGGGAAGGGAAGTGATGGAAAGGATGTGCAAGTATCTTGAAACTGAATCCAGTGGCTTTTCTATGTGAACTCATTATGGGCCCTAATTTTGACTGTTCCTTTTTTTTTTGTAGAACTGGATGTGAAATCATAGTTTCATGACTTCATGGCATGGTACATTCTTTAGCCAGTGCATCTCTTTAGTGTAATAATGGCTTTCAGAGACGAGAGCGTTGTGTTCGTTTGGATGCTCAAGACACTTCCATTAATTGCAATTGATACATCAAAAACTCAATGAATGCACACATGTTTTAGGTTTACATCCATTCATTTTACCACGTACAGTATCAAAAAAATTATAATGATCGGTTAAAAAGAAATAGAGGAATTAATTTTTATCATGGGTGGAAAATAGTAAAATACCATCATCCCCTCCAAAAACAAAGTTTTTACGGGTACATTTCCTTTTAGGACATTTCAAAAGAGGAGAAAATAACGTAGAGGTTATTTACTGTTTAAAATTGTGCAAATTAAATTTTTTGATAAAAATTGAAGTAACTTATTCTTTGTACTATTTATCTTTGTTTAATTCAGCCTTTCCTCTTATTTTTGACATTACTGAATGTTCTGAATTGTTAAAATCATGACATCTAAAAAAATATGTTGTCCATGGCAAAAAAGAATTAAAAAAAGTACGAAGCATACAACATTTTCCATGTCGTCTAAAATAAAGTTACATGTTATCGCTTTAATAATTCGAGATAGTAGGCAAGGGCAAAAGTAACAAAGGATCAAATTTAACAATAAATAGTACATAGACCAAAAGTGCTAAAATTTTGAGTATGACTAATTTGTACTCCTCCCATCCCAAATTAAAATATTTGTTATATATGTGTGTGTGTGTAATTTTAGTGAAGGACATAGTATTATAAAACGAAATGGAGAGTTAAAATTGAGACGGAGGGAGTATTTTTTTAGATGGTACAAATGGTACCTCAATACATTTTCCTCACAAAATAAAGGTTTCATTTCTCTTAGTGAAGCTGTTTACATTATTTCTTTTTTTCTTACATAATTTTCATCATACGTACACTTTTTACTTTTATTACATTCCATACAAAAACATAAGAACATTTTATTTTGATCTGGAAGAAGTATATACATTGAATAGCCATTTGTTAGTCCCTCACCATTGAGCGACCCGGTGAGGGGTATTCCGGTAATCCGTGTAATGGTTGTGTCTGTCTCTTCGTGGTAGCACAAAATCAATAGAAAGTTGAGATTTCAGGCCAACTGCATAGGGCTCCTTAAAATTTAGGGCACCATATTTTTAAATTTGTTAATAATTTTAAAGCAAAAATATTCTAAAAATATAAAATAGAAAGAAAAATGTAAATTTTGGACGGGGCCAATTTTATTTTTTCATTTTTCGGGGCCGGCCCTGTGTTTACCTATAACTCTAAGGGACCCAAAGTCTTATTTTGGAATTTAAAAACTATAAGTAGTTATATACGGAGTATATATTCTGCATGTTCACTCTTCTGGCTTCCTCCATTAGAGTGTGTATTTAATGCAGTAGTGGAAAGTAGAGGTGGAAGGAGTCTAAAAAAGCTTTGTAGCATTTAAACCAGATATCAATGAGTTCTTGAATGTAATGGAGCCACACACCAGTTGGTATTTCAGACCTAATTAAGCTTCTTCCATTTTTCAATATCCCCTACTGGTATGGTCCACTGCTGGAAAGAATAAACATAAAAAAAAATATCTGGGTTTGATTGTTCTGATCCAATGTGAATATGTAGTTGTTGAGAAGTCAAGGACAAGGTGAAGGGTATATAGATGTTCAGTTGAAGGACAGTGACACTACACCCCACACATTAATGAATCAACAGAATCCCCATTGCATAAGCAAACTTTCCCTTTTTCTAAGTGTACATTCAGCATTTTGCCCATCTGTCACAACACACACAGCTTTCTCTTCTTTCCCATTTTGCTTTGGTCTCAAAAACTTCCCTCCTTTTTCACTTGAAATTTTCCACAAGGAACTTCTTTGGAATATTCTTCTGATCTCATTTCTCCACCATCATCTCATATGTATGCATATTAATGCAAAATGTAAGCCTTATTGTACTGATGTGAAAAATATTCCTTTATTGTATATGTGGATCACTGCCTCTTTAGGGCCAAAGATGGAGAATTATGAAGTGGTTGAGCAAATAGGCAGGTGTGCTTTCGGAGCTGCACTTCTTGTTCATCACAAGTTTGAGAAAAAGAAGTAATTTTTTTTCCATTCTTTTTTCCCAGATAAAGAAATATCTTAAGAAACTGAAACTGTGGAAACTTTAAAAACTGCAGGTATGTGCTGAAGAAAATTCGTCTAGCGAAACAGAATGAGAAGTTCAAGATCACAGCATACCAGGAGGTTAGTTAACCCTGCTAAACTTTCTTCGTTAATCAGACGAAAGACAAAAAAAGAAGCAAAGAACGGTTCTGAAATTTGGATATACTCCGTAATCTGCAGATGAATTTAATAGCCAAGTTAAATAACCCTTACATCGTGCAATACAAGGACGGTTGGGTGGAAAAGGTAAATAAACTATAGACTTTAAACTTTTTTCTTAATGTGACAAACTATTTTATCACCACCGGTTGCAGGGATTATCTGTTTGCATTGTAACAAGTTTCTGTGAGGGAGGCGACATGTGAGTTGCTAGAAGCATTTTCTTAAAGCCTGTTTTTCTTTATCTCGCGAGAAAATGGCTTAGTGTTTAAAACTTTTATAATGAACATGCAGGGCTGAGATGATAAGGAGAGCAAGAGGAATGTTCTTCTCAGAAGAAGTAAGGAATCTTAATAGAGAAACAAAATGAATTGTTTGTTGTTACTAATCAATGCAGCAATGCTCCTTCCACAGAGGCTTTGCAAATGGCTGACTCAATTGTTGTTAGCCCTCAACTATCTTCATTCCAGCCATGTTCTCCACAGGGATCTCAAAGTAATTAATGTCTACAATCTCTTCGAGTAGTATACAAGAAGTGACTTATGAATGTACTTCCTTGTTTTATAGATTTTTTTTCCTGTGTTTTGTTCTTGACTCCAGTGCTCCAACATTTTCCTAACCAAGGATGATGGAATCCGACTAGGTAAGGATTAATCGCGCATATAATGTACAACTTCAAAGATCCCAAAGTAGATGGTTTCCCTGCATTCATGAACATGATCTGATAAGGTTATTGGATTGCTCATCCGACAGGTGATTTTGGCCTGGCAAAGTTGTTTAACCAGGATGATCTTGCGTCTTCGGTGACAATATATATTCTGATATTCTTTTCTGTTTTGAACATGTTTCAAACTTGAACTTGTGTTTATTCTGACTCTTCAACTCTTCAAGATAGTGGGAACTCCAAATTACATGTGTCCGGAGCTCCTAGCCGATATACCATATGGCTACAAGTAAGATATATGGTCTCTAGGTAACAACACCCCTACATTATTGCTTTGGTTTTTTCTCATCCAATCCTTATTAATTCTGACCAGGCTTTAAACCTTTTTGTGGCCTAATGGCACTTACAACATTAATATTACTTTTTAAAACATTGCAGGGTGTTGTATGTTTGAGATAGCAGCTCGTCAGCCTGCATTTCGAGCTCATGTAAGTTTTGTTTGCAAATATGCTATGGTTTTCTTTCGCAATGGTCTTCAACTGGATGGCTGGTTCAACTCTTTGCTGAACAAACAGGATATGGCTGGACTAGTTAACAAGATTAAACGATCCACCGTTTCTCCACTTCCTACTATATATTCATCAACATTGTAAGCTAGTGTTGTTATCTTCTACAGTCTCAATCCAGAAAGAAAGCTGCATATATATGAGTTACTAATGAGCACTACATGTAATATTATATTGCAGGAAGTGTTTGATCAAATGCATGTTAAGAAAGAGTCCACAACACAGACCCACGGTTAGTCCCCAGGCTTTCAGGTCGAAGGCTACTAGGCTAGACTATGGGATGGAAATAGGCCATGCTCTAAACAGGCTTGATCATCACCGAAATTGTCATGCCTGATTAAAGCTTTGTTTTTTGGTCTGGCCTAATCTGTAAAAAAGTGGTTCGGGCTAGCCTGAAACCTGTTTAAAATGTCTGTTGAGGGAAAATGGTAACACCACTTATGTGGTAAATGTTTAGGCTGCAGAGCTCCTAAGGCATCCACATTTGCAGCCCTACCTGTGGCAATGCCGTGATCTGCCTCCTGTATTTCTTCCACTACTGCCTGCTGAAGACTTGGAGGCAAAACCCGTCGTGACAACAAGACGGCGTCTCAAGCATGCATCAATGAATACCCACAAAGTGGCAACGGAAAGACAAGAAAAACCCGTTGCAGAGAGAGTTCATGTGGCAGCTAAACAAGTTGCAGAGGTGAAAGCGACTGCAGACAGTAATTGTTTCCCAAATCTTGAAAGTAGGAAGGTAGAACAGAGTGGTTCTACCGACCAAATCTCCAAAAAGGATGAATGTTCAAGATTAATAAGTAAAGCGGCAGAAAAGATTTCCAGGCAACCACAAAGCCAGCCTACCCAAGAAGGAGGCAGGTCAGAAGAATTGAAGAAAACAGAGAATTAAGACCGTCACAAGAGGACGGAAAGCGGCATTTCAATAACGGGCAGCCCGAATTATCCCAAGGGAAACAACCTAACAAGAATAAAATGGAGCGAGTTGGGTAATGAAAGAGCAGAAGCCCTGGAATCACTTCTAGAACTTTGTGCAGACCTTCTCAAGCATGAAAAGCTGGAAGAGCTTGCAGGCGTTTTAAAACCATTTGAGGAAGATGCTGTTTCGTCAAGAGAAACAGCCATCTGGTTGACAAAGGGTCTGATGAATCTTCAGAATGAAGGTCACCGGGAATCTTAAATGCTTTTGTAGGTTTTGCTTCAACCCTGAGAACAATAGATCATTGCTTGTAGCATGTATGTATTGGTATTACTCCGTAATAACTAGAGAAAAATACACACGACTAAAACAAGGCACATTTTTCCTGTACAGGATTACATGAACTGAAACTAATTACATGAACCGAAATATTAGAAACCGAAATTGAAATAATCCAAAAAATGAAGATCTATAACCGAAAACCCACAATAATTCGAATCGAACAGAAACCAAACTAAATAATTTATATCCGATTTAAATCCAAAACCGATTAGATCTGAAACCGATAATATCCGAATCGATTAAATCCGAAACTGATTAGATCTGAAACCGATAATACCCAAAACTGATAAAACCAGAAACCGCTTTGAATTGCATTTACTTCTAATTGGATTCAATTAAAGAACCAAATTAAATTTGAATGAAATTAAAGTGATCTGAACCAAACTAGTTTAACATGTATCTGGAAGATATCCGAACCAAATTAATCCAAACTGGAAATATTCTGATTGATGCAATTGCCACATCTAGGTTGTGTGTATCTTGACATCAGACTCCCTCTCCTACAGAATTAAGATTTTTGTACATTTATTGGCTAATTCGATATGCATTAATAATATAAAAATGATGTTCATTTGAAATCATCATATCTTCCTAGACCCAACTCTCTTGGATGTAAGATTTTAATTTTAATGAGTTCGTACTAAAACGATCATAACGCATGTCCTTCAAATAAAATGAGAGGGAGTAATTTGTTCATAGGAAAATGAGTAGTAATGCCCAAATATGATAAATGCCTTCTTAAACAGTAGAAGAATCATCCTCAAGTTATTACGTCTCATTATCCGTGTCAAAGGCTCAAATATCCTTTTGCAAAAATAGGATAGAGACACTCCTATGCTAATATTTCAAACGAAACTATATCATTTCTACAAGGAGATAGATATGTCTATTCAACCAAAAAAATAGACCATTTAGTTACCTAATTGTTCTCTCGGCATATTGATCAAACGTCACATTACTTTCAACTAGATATGCTGTAACTTGGCAAAAATGGTTCATCTAAGCGTTCACTACTCTAACTATCCAATTAAGTTTATAAGACTAGATAATGACGTGGAGTTTGCATCAAAGAACTTTGATGATTGTTGCATGACCATTGAGGTCAATGTAGAGCATCTTTTAACCCCACATTCATACACAAAATGCCCTCGTAGAAGTTATCATTAAAAGACTACAAATGGTAGCTTGCACATTGATTGTGCACTCATTTGAGAATATTGGCATAGTATTATGTCATATTGTAGCATTTTTACCTATTTGTTTCAGAGCATCTGTCTCTACATACACATTAGCGACTATTTATGAGCTTGCCACATCACCGTGTGGGGGCATTAATGATTCCTTAACAGTTCTAGATTTCAATATTTTTTTAATTTTTTGGTAAAATAGTTGTATAATTCCTTCAAAAAAAATTTATATAATTGACGCTAAACTACTCATCCATTTAAAAACTATCTTCCCATTCATTATTCAAGGTAATATTTTATTTACTTTGTACGCCTATATTTGTTGATAATACGATAAAATAATATAGTCATATCATATCTAGTTTTGTATATCTTTTCATGTAATTTTTAAATATATAATTTTTTAAACTTCACACTAATTTTCATATTAAAAATTTGAAAATAACTCCAATAAAAATCGTAATGCGTAATGGACATTATAAACATTTTTTTAAAGATTTCACGCCATTTTTCTAAATATTCATTTAAAACTATTTAGAAATTAAATTATTTATAAACTTTTAAATATTTGAAGCTGAATATATGTATAATATAATTTAGAAATTAAACAATTTAATTTTTATTATTATGAATCAAAAGTAAAAAATGATTGAATTTATAAAGTTAAAGGCTGAAGTTTATCATCGGGTCTACCACTTCACCCTTAATTTCTGACTCTAAACAATATTTCTGAATTTACAAGTCGCTCTCGCTCGACATGGCCATCCGATTCGCGTCTAGGCTCCTCCGCTCCGCCACCACCTCTAGTACCGCCGCCGCCGCCACTTCTAGTGCCGCCGCAGCCGCCACTTCTAGTGCCGCCGCAGCCACCAGGTATCCGAGATCTCTTCTTTTAGTCTCTCTTCTCCAATCCCATTCCCATCCATCCCATGCCCTCTCCCATGGCACCCTATTTTTCCGATCCGTATCCACCCTGAGCCGTCCCCATCGCTCAGCCCGGCCAGATATCGGCGCTCGGGCCAGGCAGATGCAGACGCGTCGTCTTTGGACTTACGCCCTATCCTTCAGCTGCGTTGCTGGATTTATCATCATCGTTCTCAACCAGTTCCAAGACCAGCTCGTTTTCTACGTGACCCCAACGGATGCGTTAGCAAAGTACACCGCGAACCCCACCAGGTCAAAGTTCAGGCTCGGCGGGCTGGTATTGGAGGGCAGTGTGGGGCAGATTCCTTCATCTCCAGAGATGGAGTTCGTGGTGACCGACTTAATAACTGACATTTTGGTGAGATACGAGGGATCACTGCCGGATCTTTTCCGGGAGGGTCATTCTGTTGTTGTCGAGGGGTTTATAAAGCCGTACACAGAAGAGATGAAGAAGAAGGATG